GAAATGCATGTGCACCAGTACCATTGCCACTGCTTGTTTCTCTGACTGGCAGCAGAGTCCAATTTTTTTGACTGACCCTGCTACGCACTTCACTTTTTTAGGGTATGAAATTTTGGGGGTGATTCCACTGTATTATTCCAGAAATGGAGCAAAGTCAACAAGTCAGGAGGTGGACCTTGGCCAGAGGAGAGGTCCGGTCATGCAGCTTGTTGTCTCAACTATGGCCAGCAGTTCCCTCAACTACTGGTGACTAGGGGAAAGGACTGCTGGAGCCAGCCACTACAAGATGTCTGGATTCTTGATATAGACAGAGGGAAATGGAGAAAGGTAAGACAAGCCTCACTTATCCCATATTATTATACACATGAATGTTGACATTCTCTCACAACATGTGTGTATAGGAGAGGCCTACTTTGAAGGCTCTCTGTGCTCACTCTCTCACTGCCTTCAGTCTGGCTCCAGGGCTGACAGAGGTTGTGGAGTTTGGAGGGACTTCTGAGCAGTGGGCTGGATCTGATGAGACTCAACCTAAAATAGCAGACACAACTCTGCTCCAGTTCAGTGAGGATAAACACACCCTAAACAGCTCAGGCAAACTGTAGCTACTGATCACACATAAAACCTCTGTATAAAATGCCAATTATAACACAGAATAATCTTATTCAGGACTAGTGGAAAGGTCTGGACAGTCTCAATGGGAGCTACTCTCTGTGGTTGACAACACACATCGTGGATCACAGGAGAGAATAATTGAGAAATTCCGCTACACAGCAGAGAGCTGGCAGCAAGCAGAGGTTGAGAGGAGGGAACACGAGAAGGTGGTGGTTCAAGAACAAGCCATTGCAGCCGAGCAGCGAGGTCCGTCATGGGAAGTGATGGAAGACGAGTTGGAAGAAACAGAGGAAACTCTCGGAATCAGAGGGTGGGCTGTGGTGAAAGTGGCCAAACTCAAAGTGGCAGCAAAATGTCTGCACAGCCAGTTGATCTGCGACTACCACCGTCATCTGTTCAGACGAGAAATGGACGTGGCAGCCAGAGTCAGCCACCCCAACTTGCTGCGTTTCCTCGGAGCCAGACTGGAGGGAGGCATGGCCATTCTGACAGAGTTCATGCCAACTAGTCTCAGAGCTCTGGTCAACAGACGTCCACGACAACGTCTTCCTCTGGAACACGTCCTCTCCATCGCAATTGACGTGACCCATGCCCTCAACTACCTCCACAACATGAGCCCCGACCCCATCATCCACAGGGACCTCAGCAGTGCCAACGTTCTCCTCCAGCCCTCTCCCGATGGAGGCTGGCTCGCCAAGGTCTCTGACTACGGCACCACCAACTTCCAGAGTCAGCTTCAGACCGTGAATCCCGGCATTCCAGTGTACACTGCCCCCGAGTCCCACGACCCTGCTCTCCAGACACCCAAGATGGACATCTACAGTTTCGGTGTGCTCCTGGTGGAGATGTATACGTGTGATTTCCCAGCTCCTGAACGTCTTGCTGAGCTGACGGAGTCCATCGACCACCCCAGACTCTTGAACCTCATCCGACAGTGTCTGAACGTAGACAGAGATCGACGTCCGACAGCTGCTCAACTGGTGGACCTCCTGCACTCCATGCAGTGAAGACAGACACACATCTCTGTCACCATACTCGCGATATATAAATACATGCATGCCATTTGACAATACTTGTGTCCCCCTTTGCTGTTTTTTTACACAGCACATTGTTTAATTGTCATTTCTTTTTCTGGAAAGGAATGTTATTATTTTTGTCGTTTTGATTCCTGACTTCCTGACGCATTGCACAAAGCACCGTCATATGTTTACATTCCCGCCACTGCGCGCATGCGCACTTGTGAGCACACGTGTTGTCAGCTAGCTAGCTATATACAGGTCGTCGAGATGAGGGTTTGCAACTGTGGAGGGTTAGAGAGAGTGGTGAGCGTATAACTGAATCGATGGCTGCAAAGTTTTTCTTGTCGTTCCGGTGAGTGCAATCAACGTAACCTTGCAGCTCGTGATCGCGCCGTCTTTGTTTCCCACAGTCGAGCGAATTACTCGCAATTGAGAACTGTTGAGAGCTCGCTGCCTGCTAACGCCACTCCTCGTTCAACATCGTCTCTTTCACTTTCCACGTTAGTATATTACTTATAACTTGTATAATTCATTGCAGTGGCTCTAATATGGTGAGTGTGATTCAGTACCACCTGCATTTCATCGAAGTATCAGTCCACCAGTGTGTACTCTTTTAGCATGAGACTGCTGCTTGCTCTTATACACTGAGGAAAGTGTGCAATACTGAGCAATGTTACTGCTGCAGATGGTACTTTGGAGACCTGTCTCACGTGAAGGCAGAGGAGCTGCTGAGTCGACCTGGACTGAGGTCTGGGACGTTTCTCGTGAGAAAGAGCTCCTCCTGTCCTGGCAGCTTTGCTCTGTCTGTGCTGAACCAGGGGAAGGTCTTCCACTATCTTATCATTGGAGACAGCAGCGGAGGTGGGGCCTCTGCAAGCTGCACAGCAGCCTTATAACAGCTGTAGCTATTGTGTACTGTCCTAGATGTATGGTGGTAAGGGAAGCTCCAAGTATGTGAGCACAAACAATGTGCATGTATAGTTATTTGGCATTGTGTGGCTTCCACACATGAAGTCCTAAGCACAACATGCTCAATGATGATAACTGTATTTGGACACTTGTGAGGTCATAAGCACAACTTGCTCAATGATGATAACTGTATTTGGACTGTAGGCGTGTATGTTGGACTGACCAGTGAGAGGAAAGTGCTCAACACGATGGAAGAACTCGTCACCTACTACAGATCTGGTAGCAACTTCCTAGTTTGCAAGCTGACCGACAGCTGTCCAAAGTCCTCGGTGGACTCCGCCTCTCTTGAGATCGAGCGCTCCTCTCTCGTCCTCCGCGAGAGACTCAGCAGCAGTGGCAGTGACGACATGTGGTACGGGATCTGGACCAGAGAAGGGAGGAAATTACCAGTCCACGTGCGGAGGTTGTCCCAACAGCTGTACAGCAAGACCGACGTGATACACGAGACGGACATGACTCGCCAACTGGCTGCTCAACTGGTGGACCTCCTGCACGCCATGCAGTGAAGACAGACACATCTCTGTCACCATACTCGTGATATCTAAATACATGCATGCTATTTGATTTGACAATACTTGTGTTCCCTTCGCTGTTTTTTTATACACACATTGTTTAACTATTTTTCTGGAAAGCGAACGTTATTATTTTTGATTCCTGATGCATTGCAGAAAACGCTGGCATAATAATATTCCCGCCACTGCGCGCATCCGCACTTGTGAGCACACGTGTTGTCAGCTACCGGTCGTCGAGATGAGGGTTTGCAACTGTGGAGGGTCAGAGAGAGTGGTACTGAGAGTGTAAACTGAATCGATGGCTGCAAAGTTTTTCTTCTCGTTACGGTGAGTGCAATCAACGGAACCTTGCAGCTTGAGATGGTTTGGAAGAGGACTGTTGGAATTGTGTCGACTCATCGCTCCGTGGCGTGGAGGAGGTTGAGCGTATCGTCAAATGCACTGCCTCCACGTCTCCTTTCTGTGGGAAATAGAGCTGTAACGTCCCTGCGCTTACGAACATGGTTCTAATCGCTGGGAGAGACGGCGCCTGACGCACAAGCAAGTCTTTGAGGGTTTTCTGAAACACTCTAAATCGCTGAGAGTGGGCTGTTCATACTCAAACCTCTACCTCTCATTCTCTCAGACCCTCTCTCAGTACATCGGTTTAACCATTGTATGGAGGAGGAATATGAATATGCTACTAAGTTTGTGAAAACAAGGCCTGAAAATCACTTATAATTCACTAGCATTTCAGCCATATAGTCGCCCGCCCCTCCCAGCAAGTGATCTTACTGGCTTACGTAAGGGTTTCAGAGGTTACAAGGCTAACTAACCTGAACGGCACAAAACTATCACAACAAGCATGTCAATGGTATACGTACCTTCACAGCCAGGTGTAGGGGTGTATTGCCATCTTCAGTCCTACAGTCAACCTCCACCTCAGCAGTGGTCAAAAGAGAGACCAAGAAGTCAGTCTTGTCCTTCTTGACAGAGTCTGTCCATACGTAGTAGTGGAGAGGTGTGCCACCCTGGGAGGATAAGAAACAATGTGGCGAGAAAATGTAGGAAGTGAAACTTTAACCATATTATTTGCAGTAGGATGTGCTGATGCACAAGGCGCAATGGGGCAATGTGATGTATTGTTAACTCAGCCAAAGGAAAAGTAGGAAAAATGACCAAAATTAGCTAAGTCCAGCTATTCTTCATCACGAAAGAGAACTCCCCACTCTACACAAAATTTCTATCTGGCTCACTCTTATTTCTGATGGAAGACCATCTACACCCTCTTGAATAGCAGCCTTGACAGTCTGGAAGAAAAGGAGGAGAGAGGAAAGCATGTGGTAGTGCTATGTCTATTTACAAGCAAACACATGTTCTCATGTATTTAGTTACAAGCCCTTTACAAGCCTACACCTTCTTCTGAGCTACAACTATCCTACCTGAACGTCAACAAAAGAATGTCGCTTGAAGGTCTTGTGGAGCTCAAGTGAAGGACTCCCTTTCTTCCTTACCACTGGAGAGACTCGCGAAGGCTGGTGGAAAGAGAAATCGGACGTTTCGAGGTCGACCGAGCGACGAGAAGACGCGGCAGCGTTGTCTTTTCGTCTCCCTTTCCTTTTCAGTGAATTCAACAGCCACGTTTTCAGCGTAGGCTTGCGATCTGTCTTTCGGCGCTGCGGTCCTTTTCCGTCCGAGTCTAAACCCACTGGTTTGCGTTTCGGCGAGGATCGGGGAGAGGTTCCCTCGTCTGCTGCTGTGTTTGTGGAGCTTTGAGGAGTAGCAACACTCTCCTTGCTAGCTGCAGATTCTTTCCCTTGAGGCTCTAAGCCGTCTCGCCCAGTGGCTGCCGTATCATCATCGGCCATTTCTGTTTTGAGCCACGCCCCCACATATAGATATCCCCGCCCTTCTTGTACACCCACCCTAATGGCTTCAACTCTTCTCGCTCGGTTGACTGGGTCCTCTACCAAGTACGAGCCATTGCCAAGAATATGGCACGTCTCAGGAAGTGTAGGTAGCAAAGTGGTAGTGCAGGGAGGACGGACAAAGGATTTCTCAGACAAGAGCAGGCAACAGTTGAGCTCCGTCGTAGAGATCTTCGACCCCTACTCTGAGTTGTGGGAGCAAAGACAAGTCGAAGGAGACGCTCCGTCGCCTGGAACGTATGTGCAGCCAGTGCATCACTCTGTGACGACCTTTTCTCGTTTGGAGGGACTGATGGCAGACAACGCTTGAACACTCTCCACAGACTGGACTCTAAGACGTGGTGCTGGAGTCAAGTGTCTCCTCAGAATGCAGACGGAGCTCCTATGCCTAAGACTTTCTGTGCAATGATAGCATTTAGAAACAGTTTGGTAGTGCTTGGTGGATATGGAGTACCCCGAGGACCTACAGAACCTCAATCATTTATCCAGACTACCACATCACTGATGCGAAGGGTGGACTAATGAGCTTCATATCTACAATCTCTCAGAAGGTATGAAGTGTAATTATGTTCTGCCCGGTTTACGTAATGAGTTAAGAAGTAAGCAGTCTACGTTGAGTACGGGTGCTACACATGCAGCTCTTTCTGCATACTGTACTTAGTAATGTAAGTGTGGCACATATAGCTAGCTTTTATTAAAATTTAGCACAAGTAAAATCATTTGTGCGTCTATTTGATTTGGCACTATGCAAGGCACATTAGTTTGAGCATTGTTGATCAAAATTTGCTTAATTGTCTCCTCTACAGCGATGTCAATCAAGAGCAAACCAGCTTCAGGAGAGGCTGGAGGAGGTGGAGAGGAGGGAACACGAGAAGGTGTGGTTCAAGCAAGCCATCGCAGCCGAGCAGCGGGTCCATCATGGGAAGTGATGGAAGATGAGTTGGAAGAAACAGAGGAAGAGCTTGGCTGTGGGGATGGGCGAAGTTAAAGTGGCTACACTCAAAGTGGCAGCAAAATGTCTGCAACGGCCATTTTGATCTACGACTACCACCGTCATCTGTTCAGACGAGAATGGACGTGGCAGCCAGTCAGCCATCCAACTTGCCTGCGTTTCCTCGGAGCCAGACTGGAGGAGGCATGGCCATTCTGACAGAATTCATGCCGACTAGTCTCAGAGCTCGTGGTCAACAGACGTCCACGACATCGTCTTCCTCTGGAACACACGTCCTCTCCATCGCATTGAGTGGCCCGTGCCCTCAACTACCTCACAACATGAGCCCCGACCCCATCATCCCAGGGACCTCAGCATGCCAACGTTCTCCTCCAGCCCTCTCCCGACGGAGGCTGGCTCGCAAGGTCTCTGACTACGGCAACCGCCAACTTCCAGAGTCATGCTTCAGACCGTTAATCCCGGCAGTCCAGTGTACACTGCCCCCGAGTCCCATGACCCTGCTCCTCAGACACCCAAGATGGACATCTACAGTTTCGGCGTGCTCCTGGTGGAGATGTATACGTGTGATTTCCCAGCTCCTGAACGTCGTGCTGAGCTGATGGAGTCCATCCCACGCACCCAGACTGCTTGAACCTCATCTCGACAGTGTCTGAACGTAGACAGAGATCGACGTCCGACAGCTGCTCACGGTGGACCTCCTGCACGCCAGGCAGTGAAGACAGACACATCTCTGTCACCATACTCGCATATCTAATACATGAACGCCATTTGACAATACTTGTGTCCCCTTTGCTGTTTTTTACACAGCACATTGTTTAACTATTTTTTACTTTTCTGGAAAGCAAACGTTATTATTTTTTGTCGTTTTGATTCCTGACGCATTGCAGCAAACGCTGTCATAATATCCCGCCACTGCGCGCATGTGCACTTGTGAGCACACGTGTTGTCAGTTACAGTACCGTTCATCGAGATGAGGGTTTGCAACTGTGGAGGGTCAGACGGAGTGGTACTGAGAGCATAAACTGAATCGATGGCTGCAAAGTTTTTCTTCTCGTGAGTGTAATCAACGGAACCTTGCAGCTCGTGATCGCGCGGTCGTGCGTGTAACAAACTCGTGCTGGCGCGGGTAGGATCGAGTTGTTCTGCTCAAATCAATACACAAGGCACAAGGCCAATCACAACACACCAATCTATATATCTGTAGGATGATGTCATGACATGCGTACAACTATCAGGAATACACACGATACATAGTATACCGAACATACAGCAATTGTGATACAACACAACAGTCCATACATATTATAGGTTATACATTAAAACATGCATACAGCTAATACAACATACGCTAATATAACAACACACCATAACAAGTCCATACATCACAGCGCGACACTGGCTCCAAACGCTATCAGGACTTTCACTGCCTCCACGTCTCCTTTCTGTGGGAAATAGAGCTGTAACGTCCCTGCACTTACAAACATGGTTCTAATCGCTGGGAGAGACGGCGCCTGACGCACAAGCAAGTCTTTGAGGGTTTTCTGAAACACTCTAAATCGCTGAGAGTGGGCTGTTCATACTCAAACCTCTACCTCTCATTCACTCAGACCCCTCTCTCAGTACATCGGTTTAACCATTGTATGGAGGAGGAATATGAATATGCTATATACTAAGTTTGTGAAAACAAGGCCTGAAAATCACTTATAATTCACTAGCATTTCAGCCATATAGTCACCCCCCCCTCCCAGCAAGTGATCTTACTGGCTTACATAAGGGTTTCAGAGGTTACAAGGCTAACTAACCTGAACGGCACAAAACTATCACAACAAGCATGTCAATGGGTATAAGTACCTTCACAGCCAGGTGTAGGGGTGTATTGCCATCTTCAGTCCTACAGTCAACCTCCACCTCAGCAGTGGTCAAAAGAGAGACCAAGAAGTCAGTCTTGTCCTTCTTGACAGAGTCTGTCCATACATAGTAGTGGAGAGGTGTGCCACCCTGGGAGGATAAGAAACAATGTGGCGAGAAAATGTAGGAAGTGAAACTTTAACCATATTATTTGCAGTAGGATGTGCTGATGCACAAGGCGCAATGGGGCAATGTGATGTATTGTTAACTCAGCCAAAGGAAAAGTAGGAAAAAATGACCAAAATTAGCTAAGTCCAGCTATTCTTCATCACGAAAGAGAACTCCCCACTCTACACAAAATTTCTATCTGGCTCACTCTTATTTCTGATGGAAGACCATCTACACCCTCTTGAATAGCAGCCTTGACAGTCTGGAAGAAAAGGAGGAGAGAGGAAAGCATGTGGTAGTGCAGTCTATTTACAAGTTCACATGTATTCAATTACAAGCCCTTTACAAGCCTACACCTTCTTCTGAGCTACAACTATCCTACCTGAACGTCAACAAAAGAATGTCGCTTGAAGGTCTTGTGGAGCTCAAGTGAAGGACTCCCTTTCTTCCTTACCACTGGAGAGACTCGCGAAGGCTGGTGGAAAGAGAAATCGGACGTTTCGAGGTCGACCGAGCGACGAGAAGACCCGGCAGCGTTGTCTTTTCGTCTCCCTTTCCTTTTCAGTGAATTCAACAGCCACGTTTTCAGCGTAGGCTTGCGATCTGTCTTTCGGCGCTGCGGTCCTTTTCCGTCCGAGTCTAACCCCACTGGTTTGCGTTTCGGCGAGGATTGGGGAGAGGTTCCCTCGTCTGCTGCTGTGTTCGTGGAGCTTTGAGGAGTACCAACACTCTCCTTGCTAGCTGAAGATTCTTCCCTTGAGGCTCTAAGCCGTCCCGCCCAGTGGCTGCCGTATATCGTCGGCATTTATGTTTTGAGCCACGCCCCCACATACCGCCCCTTCTTGTATCGCCTGCTACACCCCACCCTAATGGCTTCAAATCTTCTCGCTCGGTTGACTGGGTCCTCTACGAAGTACGAGCCATTGCCAAGAATATGTCCCCTCTCAGAACGTGTAGGTAGCAAGTGGTAGTGCAGGGAGGACGGGACAAAGGACTTCTCAGACAAGAGCATGCAAATTAAAAATTTAAAATGTGTCCTTTTATTTCGGAATGTCCTTTATAAAAGTATATACATCGCTGCGTAGTGGTAGCACAATAGTCCTTTTCATCTAAGCAGCTAAAATATGCAATTAATTTTAATTGCTTTTGACATCACATCAGGAGTACATGTTGCGTTGCGCCGGGGGTATAATGTATGGCATGCAGTCTACAGCAATAGCGCATGGTTTTGGACAACGCGCATGTGCCTCCTGAGCTCAATCAACGGGTAATATACCTGTATGAAATTTCAATATCTGCTCTCTGTCTTGCACTTTGTCCGGACACTGTCGCCCTTTCCAGCGCGAAGATACAGGCGCGTGAAGTTGGCTACTGGACAGCGCGTTAGGATTCGACACACAAGACGGTAAGAGATTGATAAAACGAGTAACAGAACTCGGCGAGTTAGTCACTTGGTCTCTGTTACTGTTACTCGTTTTATCAATCTCTTACCGTCTTGTGTGTCGAATCCTAACGCGCGGTCCAGTAGCCAACTTCACGCGCCTGTATCTTCGCGCTGGAAAGGGAGACGGTGTCCGGACAAAGTGCAAGACAGAGAGCAGATGTTGAAATTTCATACAGGTATATACCGTTTAAATAGATGATTGAGCTAAGGAGGCACATGCGCGTTGTCAAAAACCATGCGTAGCACTGCCCGGCGCAACGCACGAAATGTACTCCGGATCCGACGTCAAAAGCGTCATGTCGACGCGTCTACAATCCCATCATCTTACACGATAAAGTGACGGTAGTACTCACGTTTCTGCTGCTACACAAAAG